GGTCCTCACCGTGACGTACGGATGGTGCTGGATGCAGCTGAGAGATGACGGAGAGAGACGTGTGACGACAGGGGGAGGGAGCGAGGGAGTGAGAGGAGAGAAGAGGGAGAGAGAAAATAAAACCGGGGAGAACGATACAGCTTTGCTAACTGGCCAATGTAGGGGAGAGCGGGGCCAGTTGAAACACGGGGTCAGATGAAACATGGCTTTATTTTCAACAGTATGCAACATATGGCGTTGCCGACACCACTGCGCATCCGTGCTCGACCACTTCCTTTGTCAACGGCGTTTGGGCGGCAAACGGACGGTAATTTTGATTTGACACTTGTTTTTGTGTTTTTCAGGGGCGTTTGGGAGAAATCGTTTTATGAATATTTTGTGATATCTCATATACCTTTGTTTGCTGAAAGAAGAAATCCTGGCTCCGGAATAACACCTTATTTGGCCCTTCATTCAGCATGATGCCGTCCCTCCAGCTCGTTTGACATGTGCTTTACGGCGCGTGCGAGATGGCGGGAGAGGATGGGGTCAATTGAAACGCTTCTCTGTGGGTCAGTTGAAACAGGGCCACAGGCCGTTTCAATGGACCCCGGTGACCTTTGCAATGGTTATTGTTCAGGGGCTGTAAACATTAAAGGAAATAGTCCACCTTTGAAATGAGCTTTTAAACTGAAATAGTAGTTTAATAGAGCTAAATTTTTGACCCCTTATTCTCCAGCCTTTTGCTTGAAAGCACACTATAGCCTGAGATATTTCTCATTTTCCTCATCCGCCCATTTTGCCATAGTCTATGTACTTTATGTCACCTATTATGAGGAACTTTGCACTTTTAGCCTTCCAACGACCTATTGAATGTAGCATTTGGAAAAGTAAACCGGACAAAATATCTCCTTAAGAAAGTGGCCTTAAAGAGGAAAACATCCCATTGTTAAGGATAGGTGCAATTGACCCCATGGGCTGGTTCAATTGACCCTCGCATCGGGGTCATTTGAAACGGGCGTAGAGCTGTTTTATAAGCATGCGTTTGGCAGCAAAATATGTTTGAAACATAATTTTACATATCTTAAAATAAAGCCAAAAGAGCATATTTTTTCATGGCATTGTGCATTTTTCGATATGACAACTAGATCCTGCTGTGCATGTCAATATATAAAAAGTGGTTCAACTGGCCCCGCTCTCCCCTATTGTTAGAAACATTGCAAGGGAAATTGAAAACACGTAACTGATTTGACATATTTACTGTGTGCATTGGTAGTTTTGTTCGGAAAGATAACCGATTTCGCCGTGGTATTTCATGCATTCCTAGCAGTCACGTGACATTTTAATGACGCCATTTATTGAAAGAGCGAATTAGATGCGTTAACTTTTGGAACACCATTATTACTAGAAGCATTGTTTAACAAATCATTGTTAGACGGTCATCTTTTTTGTAATAATAGTAACGCCTTTAAAACTGACAAACAATTTTCTAGTAGTTATGGGCGTGATGATCAATGTGAAAAGATAAATTTCTCGTAAATGCTTAAAATCAACGGCTAAGAGGATCGAACTTAACATCGTTCTGGCATTACAATTCACAACTCATGAATGAGTCTGAAACCGTCCCTCCCGACAGCAGCAGCGACAGCCGGGAACCACCGGGGGACTCCACGACCGACCAGCCCCGAGGGCGCCGCGCCGGCCGGGTCCGTGAGGGGAGAGCGGGGAGGGGAGAGAGGCGCCGGGGCGCGCGCAGGGGTACCCGCAGCTGCGTCGCAGGCATGCGGCGTCGCCCGTTCTCCGTCAGCCCAACGCTGGCCCCGCAGCCGCTCTCCCCCTACCGGCGGCCGCAACGCCTACGATAGCATCGGATCGGCACGTGGCACGTGTCGCCCGTACCGCGTCGGCGCCGACGCAGCCACCATCGACGCCGACGCAGCCGACGATCGGCAGATAGGACGGGCGTGAGAGGGAGGAAATATTTACGACGGTGGGTGGTAGGCGTGCCTCAATAGACGAACAAGGGAGAGGAGAAAAGAAAAATGTTTGTATGTGTGGATGTGTAAGGGTGTGTGTAACATGGAGAGAGAGAGAGAGAGAGAGAGAGAGAGAGAGAGAGAGAGAGAGAGGGAGGAGAGGGATAGAGATCGAGAATAAGAGAGAAAGAGAGAGAGAGAGAGAGAGAGAGAGAGAGAGAGAGAGAGAGAGAGAGAGAGAGAGAGAGAGAGAGAGAGAGAGAGAGAGAGAGTAATAAAATAAGTAGTATTTATCATTTTTTATCGTTATCATTTATTGCAAATATTTATTACGAAAGCATAATTATTCCTTTCCTATTGACTACAACCGGCATACTTTTTCGCATGACTTTCTGAAACGCAGTCCGAGTTGGAGTGTGCAGAGATCGGATCCATACAATTGACAAGAGACGTTTTGTTAGCAGACAAATATTCGGCTGCAGCTATTCTTAGGCCATGAGCCCACCTCCCACCCCATAATTTCCTCCAAGTCCAACTACCCACGCCAAAATATCAGTTGTGTGAAAATATCAGTTAGGCTGGCTTATATTTTTACATCATTTTTTTTGGCGCCGCTGGCTCTTGCGCCTAAAAGTAAGCGCAGATGGCCATTTTTTGTTGGTAAAACTGGCCTCGATTTCATTGAAACACATTCAAAGCTCGCTAAGATAAGTTCGCTAAGTTCGCTAATCTTGTTACTGAACGCTCAGTTAGTGACCAGAGCCAGTACCAAGAGCATTACCATCCACAGCTTTCTCTGGGATCATTCATTAGCATTCGCCGCTGTAATTAAATAATTGTTTCGGATTACCAGAGCATACACACAGAAAAATATTGACACCGTTAGCGGTGTAATTGCACAGTACATATCTGAGCACTTGAGGAAAGTTAATTTAGTCCCTTCCCCGCTTAAATTACTCGCGCTTCTAAATGAACACCAGGAAGAAGGTAATAGAACACTGTTAGGAGGGTTGGGTGTTTTACTACATGTAGCAAAACACCCAACCCTCCTAACAGTGTTCTATTACCTTCTTTCTGGTGTTCATTTAGAAGCGCGAGTAATTTAAGCGGGGAAGGGACTAAATTAACTTTCCTCAAGTGCTCAAATATGTACTGTGCAATTACACCGCTAACGGTGTCAATATTTTTCTGTGTGTACCGTTTAAACATCATTGTCATGTGGCATCATAGCTGACAGCGGGAACTCAGTTTCCTCCTAGGAAAGACCATTATTTTGAAACGTGTCGAACACCAAAAATGTCGGCAAGAATAGCAATTTTGAAAGTAGGCTACAAACAGTAAACTCAGTAACTACTACCCGTGATATATCGATTTTAAGCATTCGACACATAAAAAGTTTAGGCTGAGCTACACTATGCGTGACCGTCCAGGAAATTACGTGCGTGATCTGCAGATCCGTGATTGCGAGACTCCCTTGATAGCGGTTTCTGCGTTTTCCCAGAATTTCCGTGAATTATTGTATGCTGACGTAATAATATTAACTAATAAATGGTTTCGCAACAAACGCTTTAGTTTGCTATCTTCTATACTATTTAATTAATAATTAGTTTATTTTGTTAATAAAACATCAAAAACGCATAAAAATTAAAGAAACAATTATTAATTACGTCACTTGGATTCATACGGTGCGCCACCAAGTGCGCCAACAACTGTCTCATATCACGCAATCACGCAGATTCTGCAAAAAAGTTCGTAGCTCTGAACTTTATATCGGTACGGAACATCCTGACCGTCCTGACTATCCGGCATTTCCTGTACTGAACGTCCGGTATTTCCTTGTGAATCTGCGTGACCCCAGTGTAGCCGACCCTGTGCATTTCCTATCAGCTGAACTTGACCTGCGTACCGATTTTCTGCAAAACCCGCAAACTCGCAGATCACGGACGTAGGATCCCGCATAGTGTAGCTAGACCTTTACGGTGTGACGTCCGACGGCACAGCATGCTGCAGGCGCCATACATGGCGACATCTATCGAGGAAGGAAGCAACAACTGCGTCTTGCGGTACAGCATGATTCAGGCGCTATTCATGGCGACATCTATTGAGCATAGTTGTAACTTAATGTCATGCGGCGCAGCATGCATCAGGCGCTGTTTTAGCGACATCTAGCGTGTAGGAATGCAACTACTGTGTCATGCGGCACAGCATGATTCAGGCGTCATCCTTAGCGACATCTATTGAGTAGAAAGTCAGTGTCTTGCGGTGCAGCATGCATCAGGCGTTGTACTTTACATTCTATTGAACAACGCTTACTACATAAATGATGACAACTCAAGAAACTTAAGATTACGAAACGATATTTATTTTTAAATTACTTTTAAATGCACATGCAAAAGGCATGCAAAAGTAATCTAACAATAAATATCGTTTCGTAATCTTTAGTTTCTTGAGTTGTTGTTATCCAACTGTCATGGATACTTTACAAGAGTTAAATGAGTTTTTGTGCCCAGCGGCACAGCATCTTTTAGGCCTTATCCAATGCGATATCTATCGGACTGGAACACAAGCAAATGCCACGGCGGACAGCGGAGTCAGGCGCTTATCAAAATTCCAGGCCCTATATAGAACCAAACTCTTCGAGATACGAGGCGTATCTTCAGAAACAGCCCATCGTGAGCTCGCTATATCGTTTTTCATATTTTGCTGCATCTTTATAATCCATAATTACGGCATAAGCCCGCTCACTGGCTATTTTTTCAGGCTTCAGCAACGGCAAATCTGTACGTATTTTCGGTAAAAATAGAACATTTATGGTGCAGGTAAGGATGACGAGGCAGACTCGGAGAACAGAGTCAAAACCATCTTCAACCTTTACTATTTTCACCCAATTAAATCATTAAACGTCACCTTCAAGGCGTGCAAGTTCATCCCTAAACGAATCCTACACAGAACGCCGTTTGTTCAACGTTCCATAGGGCTAAATACCAAGCTGGAGCACCACTTTTTCCGCAACAAATCGGCCACCGCAGCACCAACAGACACCGCTCCAACATAATAATTTATTTGGGTCCGAACTCACAACAGCAAGATTTCATAAATCGGCAGATAACATCCCAGTTCTCCATCATATGTGGGATTTTGCGACTTGACTCTTCTATCACATTCAGCATGTCGGCGACTAGCCTAGCTCATCATTCGCTCGGCAGTGCCATACACAGACACAGAGACAGAGAGAGAGAGAGAGGACAGGAGTAGCGGAGTGTACGGAGGAGAGAGGGATCGGAGGCGGCGGCCGCCGGCGCCAAGCGCCTTACTGCGGGCGGCGGAAGTTCTTGCCAGCGTACTTGGCGTTGGCGCCCAGCTCCTCCTCAATACGGAGGATCTGGTTGTATTTGCAGAGACGCTCGGAGCGGCACGGAGCGCCCGTCTTGATCTGAGAGAAACAAATACAGACGCCGTGAGCAAAACGCTGCGCACCCATTAAGAACAAATCATCGCCAAAACTCGCAGAATTAAAACATGATCGCTTACAAGCACCAATTGAAAAGCGTATACAATACCAAATATACGACACATAAGCACACGTTTAACCGTTCAAGCCCCCGCCGGCTCTGAACCAGTCTTCTCCGTGTCCCCACGCCCCCGTAACTGACCTGTCCGGTGCTGAGTCCAACCACCAGGTCAGCGATGAACGGGTCCTCGGTCTCACCGGACCTGTGCGACACCATGGTGCCCCAGCCGTCCGACTTGGCCAGCTGGTGCGCCGCGATCGACTCCGTCACGCTGCCGATCTGCGGAGGAGGAGTGGATAACGCTCAGACACTGTTGGACACATCTGTAGGAGGGGCAGCGCGGCCGCGACTACGTCGGGTGGCTTTTACTGAGCATCCTATTTCCAATCACCGGAGCTGCGCCACAGAAGCGCTATCTTCTTGAATAAATATGATCTAAGGCCCATCCAAATCAAACAGACCCTAAAGACAAAAAAGTGACGTTAAAAGTTAAAAACAAGTTTCCTTCAATTGTGTGCGAAAACTGAGGCACAATCTCCCGTCGGCCTCACCTGGTTGACTTTGAGCAGGAGGCAGTTGCAGGCCTTCTTGTCGATGCCCATCTGGATGCGCTGCGGGTTGGTGACGGTCAGGTCGTCGCCGACCACCTGGTGCTCCACGCTGGCCGTGTACTTCACCCAGCTGTCCCAGTCGTCCTGGTCGAATGGATCCTCGACGGAGACGATCGGGTAGCGCTTGGCCCAGTCGCGGTACATGTCGGCCAGCGCCTCGCCGCTGATCACCTTGCTGCCGTCGTTGTTCTCAGTCTTGAAGTCGAGGTCGTACTGGCCGTCGGCCCTGAGCGGCGCAGGAGGGTAGTGAGTTAGAAATCGAGGGAAATTACCGTACAGTAATCGATGATCGCATCACTGTATTCGTAACAATTAAACGAACCCAAGTAAATAACTTGAATAAATGATAAAAAAGGAACAGGTACGACCTGAAAGCTGCAATGCCGAATGAGCTGCAATGCGCTAAGCAGCGTTGAAACAGCCACACCAACAATTAAGTGAACATGCATCAAAGGTGCCCCAAATAAAGCCTACATTTCACCCATATCGATCCAACGTTCCGCCAAAGCCCAACTGCTGACCAGTGGTCATAGTCTCCCAGTCATAATCGTCCCCCCCCAGATTTCACCCCGTTGTCGGGACTCACTTGTGGAACTCTGATGCGGCCACGTCCATGCCGATGTCCACCTTGCCCGTGTAGCCGGCCTTCTCGATGGCTTCCATCAGCATGGTGAGCGCCTCCTCGTTGTTCTGGATGTTGGGGGCGAAGCCGCCCTCATCGCCGACGGCAGTGGCGTCCAGGCCGAACTTCTTCTTGATGACGGCCTTCAGGTTGTGGTAGACCTGAACAGGTGGAGGCAGGTTAGGAAATATCATTTTGCATGACACAGATTTAAAAAAAAAAAACGGATAAAGATTGTCGTACAGATTGCATAAACACATATTTTAAGGGATGACTGGTCTCCCGCACCTGTACATTTCTGTTATTCAATGGGCAGACGGCTGCGATCGGCCGAGCGTAACGTGCTAAATCACATCGCATTCATCACTGGCAGACCGTCCACGAGCCTACGCTACCGGCTACACCATCGCCCACTGATTCCCACGCTGCCCACCGCCTCACCTCCGATCCCATACGCATGGCCTCGGTGAAGTTGGCCGCGCCCGTCGGCAGGATCATGAACTCCTGCATGGCCAGCTTGTTGCCGGCGTGCGAGCCGCCGTTGATGACGTTGAAGGCCGGCGTCGGCAGCACGATGTTCTTGTTGCCGGCAAGGTCGGCAATGTGCCTGAGACGGTTGAACGGTGATCATTAATCATGGACAATTAAACAAAGTGAATACTAGTGCTGGCTAGTAAAACACTGAACTAGGTTAGACAATGCGTTCAAGCCAGAACAGTGAGATCCCCTTCCTCCCCCAAGCACTGTTCATACTGACTTGTAGAGAGGAATGCCCTTGGCGGCGGCGCCGGCCTTGCACACAGCCAGCGACACGCCCAGGATGGCGTTGGCTCCCAGCTTGGATTTGTTGGGCGTGCCGTCTAGCTGGATCATGAACTCGTCTATCTCCTTCTGCTGGGTGGGCTCCAGGTTCTGCAGATATCAAACGCAGACCGTTAGCATCACAGCAAGTAAACGTTTGAGGAGTGTTCACGTGAACAGTAGAAAACATGTTTCTCTGGAAGCAGTTTTCTTCATTCGGACTACCTATTCGATTGCAGCCAAATGAAAAAGTTAAAGCGTAATCAATGAAAAAGGTTTATAAGTTTTTGAGTCTAGCCACATTTGATTTTTCCACGGTAATGTCAGCCTCCTATATGTAGATGGCATGAACGCAAATAGAATCCATGGTGCCTATCTAATTTCTGACTTTACCACCAGCCCTTTATTGATTGAAATATTCTAACCTTCTTCAGAAGTTCGGGTACAATGATCTTGTTGATGTTCTCGACCGCCTTGAAGACGCTCTTGCCCATGTACTTTGACTTGTCGCCATCGCGCAGCTCAAGAGCCTCGTGCACGCCTGGAAAATGTTCAAATGTTATAATAACTTATCTAGACTGTCAAGTTTCAAGAACATCGAATGTATTCGAAAAGAAGTGGGGCTTCTTTTATCGTAAAACAATCTTGAACGACCAAGAATATCATGATTACCCGACACAATCACCCAAAAAAATTAGGCATTATTAATCTGACCACTCGTATCACCCGCCTCACATCAACATCACAACTAAAATCCTAAGTTGGTCACCAAACGTGTGAAAATGAAGGATTTTAACGTACCGGTACTGGCGCCAGAGGGTACGGCGGCACGGAAGAGGCCCTTCTCCGTGAACAGGTCGACCTCGACCGTGGGGTTGCCACGGGAGTCGAAGATACTGCGGGCGTGAACCTTCTGGATCGGCATTTTCTTGGAGCTGACGACCGAGGATGAACCTTTACCTGGAACAGGTGAGATTAAGAGGATCAATAATAAGTCTGATAACTATGAATCGCTGCAGAGGCTTCATGCCGTGAATTTCTTGCACATTTCGTTAAGTGATGGCGGTGACTAGCGAGCAGTTTTACGCCGACAAGAAAGATTACTTTTCATTAAATCTCGATAGCAATGAGAATACACAATACTCTGATAAACATCCTGCCAATGGCGGTTAAACTCACAAACACATTCAACAATTCCGCTAATTACCTTCTAAAGATACTTAGAAGAAACGATAGACGATGCAATTAGTTGAATTAAAATAAAGTGTGAAATATTAATTGAACAAACACGATATTTCGCTCATTTCGCTGTACTCGGTGAAGGAGACGGAAAAGGAACAAATGAGCAAATCACAAACAAATGATTTTTTCTCGCGCATTATCTGTGGCGGCTACTTCACAGAAAAGGTTTTATTGAAAGGGGAGAAACAGGAACATAAGAAAATGAACGCAAAATCAAGTTTCGCAAACCGAAACTGGAAACGATGGTGTGAAGAAAAATGCACTTGTTCAAGGTGCCGTAGAAGACATGATACAAAACTACAACATATTTTTGAATTAAATTACTTGACGAAACGAATACGCTGCCTATATCAGCACAACGCACAATACAAGAATTTTGCCAGTTTTGAGAGGTTTCAAAGCAAGACGAGAAAGCACACATCACGTCCTGGCGTCTCAACTTGCCGAATAAGGTGGCAGTGATATCGAAAATTCGTCTAATAATTTGCATTTACTTAAAAATATAGCTTCTCAGGTACTTTACTTGGCATAATCGTGAAAAGCGCATTTCTTCATCAAAATTGACGCAGCAAAAATCACAAACATCGTTTTTAGCCTTCTCCAAATGAACTTTTAAGTGATTAACTTCGATAATAGGCTGCGATCACCACTCCAAGATTTGGCCCGTTCTCAGCCGACCGTTTTTCACCAAAACGGAGCAGCGATCGCTTCAGTCCCCGTGTAGCCCGCAACTGATGATATGCAGATTTGGGAATGCGGATTTGAAAGTGTTTCATTAGGAAATACTTACCAGTATAACGCCTTTTGGGGCGACTAACGGAGCGAGCGAGAGGGTGAGCCTTGCACGTGCGAAATTTCGAGGGGGTACCTCCAGCTGACTTGTGCACGGCACCCTACTAACCGGTCTCTAGCGATGTGCCAAATTTGAGCACAATCGGCCCAGCCGTTCTCGAGATCTGGAAGCGGCACCCTGCACGTGCGCACGTGCAGAATGGGTCCCAACTGACTTGTGCACGGCACCCTACTAACTGGTCCCTAACCGTGTACCAAATTTGAGCGCCATCGGTCCAGCCGTTCTCGAGATCTGGAAACGACCCCTGCACGTGCGCACGTGCAGCAGCACCCCAACTCTGGCACATGGATATGCATTGCCTAGTGGGTGCCTACCTACATGCCAACTTTCAGCGCAATCGGCCAAGTAGTCACCGAAATATTGCAACAATTACAAAACTGACACCTCTTCGTTTTGCACGTGGCACGTGCATAAGGGGTCACCCACATGCATCGGGAATAGTCCAATACTTTGTAGAAGGAATGAAGCTACCCTACAAAAATTACCGCATGTAAATCGGTCAAGTGGTTGCTGAGATATAAGCGTCGCAAAATCGTGACCACGGCCGGCCGGCCGGCCGGCCGCTCATACTCAGAAATTTCCGTTATTCTACGTAAGACTCCGCTCGCTTCGCTCGCTCCGTAAACATGTTCGATGGGGTACACTCGTTACGACAAAAAGTTGCAAGCTGGCGGGACGCCAACGTAATCCACAAATGCCATGTGAAGTCAAAATCTTCCAACCTTGGATGTCGACTATCTAGTGTCTATGTCACGTCAACTGTATTGTGGCACCGCCATATAGTAGGGCTGATGTATGGATGCTATATGGATATATAAATGTTATCTACCCTTTAAGCCTGATTTTCGTAAGTTGTTCAACATCCTGCAATCTGCATACCCAAACTTGGATCAGAAGATCACTGCGCTGATATACGCCCGCAATTTATCATTCTTTAGGGGCACTTCACATTTTCTTTCGCCAGGTCGAATGGACTAAAACTGATTCTATGACAGATAAAATTTAAGTGTTGTGCCCATCGGTTTATCCCTCTGTAACGGCATTCATCGCCTTTGCTAGATAGGATACGGGAAATACAATTTTATCAGGTCAGCGTCATTAGTTAATGGCAGAACTTACGTGCGTCGTCAGCATCTAAGGATAACAGTTATTAGAGCTAAGGTTTTCCTTGCAAAAATCACTCAACAAATTATTGATAACCTCTTTATGTTAAGTGCACACAACAACGTTCTTAAATGTCAATACTCAACAACACACAAATAAAATATTTTGAGCACATAAAATGGTGCGACCAGATCGTAGGCTAGAGGCCGATAAGCGATATTTCAAAAGGTGTGATATTGAACTTCAATATAAGGCCAAGCTATCAGCTGCAAATAGACACAAGCCGCTACTGCGTTGCAAGCCGCTCTCTAATCAGCGCTGCTTTGAATCAGGCAGTACTCACCACAACAAAGGGCCATTTAATCCATCAGATCCCAAGGATGAACCACGGAAGGATGAACAGGAGGATGAAGGAAGTTTGACGGAACAGGAAGTCTGAAACAGGTCACGCGTCGTAATGCCTGTTGTCATTGAGTTGGCGATTGCTGAACTCCAGTCATACACAATGGATGATTGAATTTAATTTAAGACAAATGCTATTTTGCAATTATGAATCAAATAAATGCATCGTTGTTACCTGATGGGTGATGAAAAACACCTGATTCAAGACCTAATACACAACGTGTACTCCCCAGAAAACAAATGAAATTTTGATCGCCCGCCGAAAGTCGCATTTCACGTGACAAAACGTGAAAAACTTAGTAGGCATTTTCCGCCGATGAGAATTATGTCACGTCATCACAAAGAGCGCAGGCATGGCGCAGGTAACTGCCGGTAATATAGCCCAGCACCCCAGCATACAAACAATTTTTTTTCTAGCAAGAAATAAGAAGACGGATACAACATCAAAAACAATGCAGTTTCTTCCAGTTATTAGAAAGTACTTGCTACGGTGAATGCAAAACGAGTATGGTTGGTTACGTGCTTAAACAAAGTAGGAGCGAATATCTTTTCACGATGCCTACTCAACTTTGACATACATGATACGCAATTATCGTTGGTTACCCCGCGCCCCGTTGGGCTCTGCCGAGCAACGCGCCCTGTTGGGGGGGGGGGGCAATTTGCCCCCCCCCCCTAAGATCTCGAGAACCACGCAACCTAGCGACAAGCAGCAAACGGTGTTGGATAGCCCTATCAGGGAACTACCTTGTGACCCAATTTTATTGACCTAGGTCAAACCGATGACGTCACAGGTCTGGTCAAAGGTCAAATTTTCACCGTTTACAGGCATTTCAAGAAATGCGTAATAAAATCGAGTAAAATGCATTTCATTGAAAATCATCGACGGGGAAATGTTCTTCAAACACATATTTTGCTATTTGAGGTCACTGATACCAGGTCAGGTCACAGAGGTCAGGCCACTGGGGGGTCACAATATGAAAGTGTCGTGTAATACATGTTTTATGGTCCATTTTACATGACAAATGCGATTATGTGGGTCAGGCAGCCTTTGGGGCCGGCTTAGGTCACGTTTTGGTCAAGGTCAGGTCAAGGTCAGGTCAAGGTCAGGTCAAATTAGGTCAAATGTCAAAGTTGATATTTTTGCATAAAATGGGTATCGATTCGATGCAGCTCGTCACGAGGAGTTCAATGGTGGTCTTTGTTTTGCCCTACAAGGTCGAGAATCGCTAAAAATTGAGTTAAAAAATTTGACGTCATCATTTTTGCACAGTTTTTTCGCTATAACTTGGCCAAAAAACGAGATATCGATCTGAAATTTGGTATGTATATAGAAGAGCGCAGGGACTATCATATATATTCCGTTTTTTTCATTAGGATTTTTTTGGATTTTTTTTTTTGAGTTTTTCTAAAAAAAATCACTTCTTTGAATTTTTGGGGGTAAAAAAAACAACATTTTGAAAATCCGAGATAGCAGTTTTATAGCGCCGCTTTTTGTCTACTAGACCATATAAAGAACTTTGAAATTGCTTGGTAACTGTAGATTTGGTGAGCGTTTTAAGATTGCATTTTTTTTTTTGCTCATTTTTGCTCGAACATGACCTCAGTTTGACCTCAATAACTCCTGACCTAAGGTGACCTAAGACTTGAAATTTGGTGTGAAGGTGTCAAATTGATGCTCGGGAAGGTACTGAAAATTTGGCGGCGCTGCGCGCCGCCGTTTTCGTGCTATTCAGGAAAAACCACAGGGGGGCCAAATTGCCCCCCCCCCCAACGGGGCGAGGGTTACTTATTTCAGTGTGATGCTAAAAAGGCGAAAGTAACGTCCCATTGTTACAATACAAGTCACGGCAGTGTCTTGTATTGGGTGGGAAGCGACACCCAAATCAAAATAATTTCCCACTCTAACCTCCAATTTTCCGAGCGGAGCGACTTTTCACTCCCTGTTTTACCAATCAGGAGCATCTGCGTGTGCCTTTCACCTCCCTCCATATTGTATTAAATCATCCTATAACGCAGCTCCCGCACCCTCTTATCATTCATAAATAAATTGTATATCCCTGTTTTCAACTCTTTTTAGTGCCTTCCTGACTGGCAATTTTTCACTCTCAGCCCTTTTTGTAGTGACGAATATCACCCTCCGACACCCAAGCCAAAATATAGTTTTAGGACACTGAGTCACGGCCATTGCATAAGCAAAGCAATTAAAATAAGAGTGTTCAAAATCATACTATAAAACTGATAAGCTACCATTAGAAACGTAATATAAAAAATAAATACACTCGTAAGATATTTGCGTATGTCTCAAATATCTACACACAAGTCATCGCACACCGATGAATGGGACGCAGCGCGCCATGAGCGTTGTCACGTGGCCGGGTATTTTTGGAGCTGTCAGACACCGTCCCGCCCTGTGCAGTCACCGCTGCCAATGTGCGCCGGGCCATCCCCGCAGCTGCCGACACCCGAGTACCGTGTAACCCCCTCCGCACGGAGAACAGAGCTCATGCACTGACACGTCCGTACGATGTACGATGCACGATTACGATTTACCAAATTGCAAAAACGATTTAATCCCCCCTAAAAAATGTTCTGGTTATCCCTAAGCCGAGCTCACCATGCCACCGCACAATGGATCAGATGCGGTCGCAAGCGCACCATTTATGATTTCGGTGAATTTCCCAAAGTAACGCAAAATATGATGCTAACGATGAAATTGAAAAAAATGCATATTTCTATAATTACGGAGCGAGCGAAGCGAGCGAAGTCTTTCCTTAGATTTTCCCATACCTGCTACATTGCATGATTAAATCGAGACATCCAGACATTTAAACGGCACGTGCACTGTACCACACTTTTCAAAGTTTAATGCAATGCTTAATATTACAAGCCGTGTGGTTCAAGGGGTGTGGTTAAATATATTCCTACCCGGGGCCGGGATGATTCAATAAATGTCACCGAGGTTTTTTAGCGAAAAATCCGAGGGCCGTTAGGCCCGAGGTGATTTTGCTAAAAAAGCGAGGTGACATTTATTGAATTCCCGACCTTAGGGCTGGAAGGTATTTCCCATACCTGCCAAAAAGCTCACAACTATAATATTATATATATGATATATGATAGTGACGTCAGCAGCCAGTATATATATGATAGTGACGTCAGCAGCCGTGTGGTTCAACGTGTTTAACCACACCCCTTGAACCACACGGCTTGTAATATTAAAGCATTGCATTAAACTTTGAAAAGTGTGGTACAGTGCACGACGCACGTGCCGTTTAAATGCCTGGATGTCTCGATTTAATCATGCAATGTAGCAGGTATGGGAAAACACGTTGAACTAAACGGCTGCTGACGTCACTATCATATAGTTGTGACTGTGAGCTTTTTGGCAGGTATGGGAAACACCTTCCAGCCCAAGGCCGGAAATTCAATAAATGTCACCTCGCTTTTTTTAGCAAAATCACCTCGGGCCTAACGGCTCTCGGAGTTTTCGCTTAAAAACCTCGGTGACATTTATTGAATCATCTCGGCCCCGGGCAGGAATATATTAACCCGCACCGGGCCAGGGGGTGTTTGAACACCCCCTCCCTGCGGTTTTTCGCAGATATCTCAAAAACGTTTGGCACACCTGTTCGTGCATCTTTTCCACACATGTGAAAATTTCAGACCCAGTCACCCAGGTCGCCTTAGGTCAGGTCAACAGGTGAAATGACCTACCAAGGTCACCAAGTGACCTCACCTCAGAAAAAATAAGAATGCTCGTCATAGCTACACCGACTGATCGATTGCCTTGAAACTTTCAGCGATTGATTAAAGCAACATTATCTATAAAATGTATATCTCGGAATTTTGATATCGGTGACCTAAGGTCAGGTCAATTTTGCGGCCTCTCCAGTCTGTCTCCATTATAAGTCAATGGGAGAAAATTGAAAAGCGTCTGTTTTGCACGAACGCTATTCTAGACACTCAAACATCGAGATGTAGGTAAAATTGACACACTGAACCGGAAAATGGCAACTATGACCCCTCGTTATGTCCCCGAGGTCATCTCAGGTCACGAACAGAATCAACGTTTTTCGCTAATAACTTCTGATAGAGGCGTGCTAGAGCGCTGAAAACGCCTTAGATGTGTTCGGCTCGACGTTGGGGATCGGCTGATATGCAACATGACATTTTCCGGTCATGTCATGACCTTGACCTGAGGTCAAATTTTCAAGTTGACCTTTCGAGGTCAAATTATAGTTTATTCGAAGCGTCTCGACGAGAGGAACACGATGCTGGCAAAAGTAATGTCATGGCTCTTTTGAGTCAAAAGTTATTGCCGAAAAAAACGCTTTTCGTAAAAACTGCTATTTTTGGAGTTTTTGCCCTCTGAAGGCTAAACCGTTGACCTGAGGTCAAATCTGAGAACATTACTCAGAAGGGTCTGTAAAAGGGCTAGGTATCGAATGCGCTTTTCCGGCGGCGCTGTAACTCTATCGGTTCCCGAGATAGCCGTCGGCAGTTTCCAAAATGTTGAAATAGTCAACATTTTACCTTTGGTGACCTCTGGTGACCTGGCCTTTGACCTGACCAAAAAAATGACCTAAGTGTTTTCGTCCTTAGTTTAGACGTTCTTTCGATTGCCGCTTACCGCGTGTCGCTACGTGGCCCAGGAGCCGAGTTAGAAGGGGGGGGGGTGTTCAGACCCCCCCCCCCGGCCCGGCGCGGAATCTCGGAGCACCGGCCCGGCCCGGGTTAACGGAAATTTCTGAGCATGAGCGGCCGGCCGGCCGTGCGGACGCTTTTGCGAGGCTTATATCTCAGCAACCACTTGACCGATTTACATGCGGTAATTTTTGTAGGGTAGCTTCATTCCTTCTACCAAGTATTGAAACATTCCCGAAGCGTGTGGGTGACCCCTTATGCACGTGCCACGTGCAAAACGAAGAGGTGTCAGTTTTGTAATAGTTGCAATATCTCGGAAACTACTGGGCCGATTGCGCTGAAAGTTGGCATTTAGGTAGGCACCGTCGCACCCACTAGGCAATGCATATCCATGTGCCAGAGTTGGGGTGCTGCTGCACGTGCGCACGTGCAGGGGTCGATTCCAGATCTCGAGAATGGCTGGACCGATTGCGCTCAAATTTGGTACACGGTTAGGGACCAGTTAGTAGGGTGCCGTGCACAAGTCAGTTGGGACCCATTTTGCACGTGCGCACGTGCAGGGTGCCGCTTCCAGATCTCGAGAACGGCTGGGCCGATTGTGCTCCAATTTGGCACATCACTAAAGACCGGTTATTAGGATGCCGTGCACAAGTCAGTTGGAGGTACCCCCTCGAAATTTCGCACGTGCAAGGCCCACCCTCTCGCTCGCTCCGTTGGTCGCCCCCAAAAGGCGTTATACTGATAGATATAGATTGAGTCAGATATTGAGTAGACTATTTGT